AGAGGGTAAACAAGAATGTACCCTTAAGTTTGGACGTGGAATGCACGATGATGTGCGTGCGTGTATGGTGCTCGGTTGCGGACGTTCTTGCTTCTCCTTTGCTCCCTCTTTCCTTAGCTATTTTTGTACTATTTTTCTCTTATTTTTCCTTACTGTTTTTCCCTCAGTTTATACTCTGAAAATGGTTCGACTTTGCATGAGAAAATGCTTGGGAAAATTACTTGTTCGGTATTTAAAGAGATGGTAAAAACCGAGGGTAAAATTGGGGTCAAAGGGGTGAGTGATGACGATTACTCCCCTTGCTGCCATGTGTCTCGGCCAAGTGCTGAAGTGTGGCGTTTAAAGCCTAGTCATTGCCGAGGTGTCGGGCATGCACGGGCTTAGTCATCGCCCGTGCGTTCGTGGCGTGCCGTGTGTGCAAGCAAGGAGGTGACTCACCACCCCACTTGCACACCCAACATTTATCCTTGAATATTTCCTCATGTAATTCTTAGGAAGGGAATTTGGCTTGATCAATTTGCTAAGCATCGCCTAAGTGCGTGCTTAGTGACTTAATGGTGCGCGCGCTAATGCACGATGCGCGGCGATGCGCGCTGCGCGTTCGCGTGCACGGCTTCGCGTACGGTTGCAAGCAACGTGCGCGTACATGTATGCGCATGACGTATCTTGTGCTCGCTCATGACTTAACTTAATTTCGGCTTCGAACTTAATTCTGAACATTCTTAACTATTAATAATTAATCCCGATTAATGATGTCCGTTTATAAAATAAACGGTTCGGAAATGAATTATCTAATTTGACTCGGTTAATAATTAACTGGATAAACTTTTCGACTTAACGTCGAACTTATTCGCTGAAAATGAATGGAATCAATAAAAGATAATACATCATTTCTATTAACAAGAAGTTGGGTTATTACAATCTACCCCCCTTAAAATATTTCCGTCCTCGGAAATATAAAACAAAACATATATACACGAAAATATACATATCAAAACTGAAAGTCGGGAAAACGAGCGCGAATGTCAGCCTCCTACTCCCAAGTGGCTCCGTGGCGATCCCACTGAATACGTACGAGGGGAACATCACGCTTCCGGAGCCGTCGAACCTGTCGGTCCAACACATCTATCGGTCGCTCCTCGTAAGATAAGTCTGGATGAATCTCCATATCAGTATGAGGAATGACATGATCAGGGTCGCACACGTACTTGCGTAACATAGATACATGAAAGACATTGTGAACACTAGATAACTCGGGAGGTAAGGCTAAACGATACGCAACATCGCCCACTCGCTCGAGTACTTCGAACGGGCCAATGAACCGAGGGTGTAACTTCCCTCTCTTCCCGAATCGAATAACTTCCTGAGAAAAGCGTGCTCGCCAACCTCGAACTGGATATCTCGTCGATGATGATCGGCGGTTGATTTCATTCTGCTCTGAGCTGTCCTGAGTCTCTGCCGAATCAACTCGACTTGCTCGGCTGTCTCCTCGATCAGCTTCGGACCGAGTACTCGACGTTCTCCGACGTCGACCCAATAAAGAGGGGAACGACATTTACGACCGTATAGTGCCTCATAAGGAGCCATCTGAATAGAAGAATGATAACTGTTGTTGTACGCGAACTCTACGTACGGCAACAACGACTCCCATTTAACACCCCTGTCAACAGTCAAAGCGCGTAGCATATCCTCCAACGTCTGTATAGTCCGCTCCGTCTGTCCCTCAGTCTCGGGATGGTAGGCTGAACTGAAGGCTAGCTTCGTAACCATTGCCTCGTGTAAACTCTTCCAGAATCTACTAGTGAATCTGGGGTCTCTATCTGACACAACAGTAACAGGTACTCCATGGAGTCGAACGATCCTACGGACATATACCTCAGCCAACCGATCCAAAGACATACTCATCGATACTGGCAAGAAATGAGCAACCTTAGTCAATCTGTCGACCACGACCCAGATAGCGTCGTGATGTTCAGACAACCTCGGTAACCCCGTGACAAAATCCATCGCAACCTCCTCCCACTTCCACCTCGGAATCGGCAGTGGTCGTAGAAGGCCTATGGGACTCTTATGCTCGGCTTTGACTTGCTGACAGGTTAAACATCTTCTTACAAAGTCGGCCACGTCTTTCTTCAATCCTCTCCACCAAAACGACCCTTTCAGGTCATGGTACATATTTGTACTTGCTGGATGGGCTAGATAGGGTGCGGTATGAGCCTCAGATAGAATCTCCTTTCTCAATGCTTCGACTTTAGGCACCACAATCCTGCCACGAAACTCCAAGGCCCCATCAGTGCCTCGGTGAAAACCCTCGACGCCTCCGGCACGAACCTTGGCATCAATCGTACGAATAAACTCATCTGAAGCCTGCTCTTGCCAGATTCTCTCTCTCAGCGTCGGCTGAATCTGCATGGAATTCACACTCCCCGTACTGGCAGTAGGAAGTGAATCAATCACCTGAATCCGCATCCGGGCGAACTCCTGAATCAACTGGCTCTGCTGGGTAACAACGTATGTCAAGTCACCCTTCAACTTGCGGCTTAGGGCATCAGCAACAACATTCGCTTTCCCAGATGGTACTGGATCGTACAATCGTAATCCTTGACGAGCTCTAACCAACGACGATGTCTCATGTTGAGCTCCTTCTGAGTAAAGATGTACTGCAAGCTCTTATGATCAGTAAAGATTTCGCATTGACCGCCGTATAGATAGTGTCGCCAAATCGTAAGGGCATGAACAACTGCAGCTAATTCCAAGTCGTGCGTCGGATAGTTCTGTTCATGTGTTTTGAGCTGGCGTGACGCATAAGCAACGACCTGGCCATCTTGCATAAGTACACACCCCAAACCCTGCCCCGAAGCATCACTATAGATGGTGAAGCTCCGAGAAGGATCTGGAATAGTCAACACCGGCGCCGTTGTAAGCCTCCTTTTCAGCTCCTGAAAACTC